AGGGCATCGAAGACTTGGTCATCTATGAGCATAGTTGTTAGTATTGTACGATACACGATACGTTACGACACGGAGGAAAAACGATACGGATCGTAGTTATGTATCGTTTTTGCGTCGTATCGTCCGATACACGATACGTTTTTAAGATATTATCGGTACGTTTTTTCTAAAACGATGTCGTTTTGTCTAAATAAGACACTAAATTTTTTATTCCCGTCACTAATGAAATGACGTCGTTTTGTCTAAATGAGACACTAATTTTTTTTTTTTTTGTATAAAAATTTATGAATTTTGATTAATTTTATGGATTGAGTTCAAAATGGATGTTATAAATTTGGATTAAAAGTCTCTTTGATGTTTGAAGTTTGAATTAGTGAACTATGGTTGTAAATTTTGCATTATAATATTAGTGAACTATATTGATGACTTGAATAGGTGGCGGAGTATTAATGAAATGTTATATTTTTATGAGTGTATGATTTTTTTTCAAAGATATATATATATATTTTTATTATTTATTTAAAATTACACGGTATCTTACGATACACGATACGATACGGCTTCCGATGCACGATTTAATAATTATGTCTATGAGTATTAGAGAAATTTTTTTTAGTTTTGGTAAAATAGTGTAATAAGCACAACTTTTTTTGCGATGCTTGTGAATAAACCAAGCATAGAAAAAATTATTATCCTAGTCATAATAATTGTTAGAGTAGTTAGCATATTTAGACTTAGGGGTAGTTTAGTCATTTTTTTTCTTTTTATGTTGTCCTAGATTAGTCTGTTTGTTATCTTTTTACCCTACTATATAAAGACCTCTTATATTGTAGTTTTTCTTTAAGGTTGTTCTGGCTAGTTATGCCTCAATAATATTCTCTTTCTTCTAATTTCTTTCTTTTTTATTTGATCAAATTTTATATGGTATTAGAGTCAACATGGTTCTAAGGGTTGTGAACAGTACCGAAAATATTGTTCACTCGGTGAATAGTGCCGAAGTACTGTTCACGCGCTATAAACAGTATCGAAGTTACCGTTCATGCTGTGAACAGTGCCGAATATCAATTTTTAGTGTCATTTTCGTGTAAGAAACCTCCATTTGTTATGGGTATTTGATTTGTAAAGTTGTTGAGTTAATTTATGACGAACTTTGGATTTTTTGGCGTTGGCTGCTTCTTTTGGTTCTAGTTTCTGCTCTTGGCTTCTGCAAGTTGGTTTTTGTTCTTGGGAGGTCTCTCTTGGCTTCACTGGTGCCTTCTTCTTTTTGTTTTGTGATTGGATTTGCGCTCCCCTATGTGTCGGTTGGTTGTTTCTGTGCCTTCGTTCCTAGGTCTTCCTCAGTGAACCAATTGGTGCATAGATTGCTAGTTCTGGTTGTTGGGTTTACTGCCTCTTCTTTTCTGCTGTTGCTTCTTGTTGCAAGGAAAGAAATCCTAATTACTTTGGGCATTGTTTTGTTAGGCATTCTTCTCTTTGTCTGATTTGGGTTTTTCTCTGTTGAGCTATTGGTTTGACTTTTCTTCTTCTCTTTGATGGGCTTTGTTTTGTTGGACATTCTTCTCTTTGTCTGATTTGGGATTCTTTCTGTTGGGTCGTTGGTTTGCTTTTTCTTTTTCTCTTTGTCTGATTTGGGCCTCTCTCTGTTGGGCTGTTGGTTTGGCTTTTCTTCTTCTCTTTGTTGATTTGGGCTTCTCTCTGTTGGGTTGTTTTTTCTTCTCTTTGTTGATTTGGGTCTCTCTCTATTGGGCTATTGGTTTGACTTTTCTTTTTCCCTTTGTTTGATTTGAGCCTCTCTCTGTTGGGCTGTTGATTTGACTTTTCTTCTTCTCTTTGTTGATTTGGACTTCTCTCTGTTGGGTTGTTTGTTTGGTTTTTATTCTTTTCTTGGTGGGCTTTGTTTTGTTGGGCATTGTTACTAATGGTTTTTGTTGGGCTTTGGTTTTCTGTTGGACCCCTTATTGTTATTTGGGCCTTAATTCGTTGAGCCTATACTTGGAGTTTTTGTTGAGTTTATTATTTTCTTCCTCTAAGTCTCTGGAACTTCGTGTTTACTCTGATACAGACTGGATTGGTGACTCTATGGATTGTAAGTCCACTATTGATTTTTGTCTCTTCCTTGGTGATTCTCTTATTTCGTGGAAAAGTAAGAAATAAATTGTTGTGGCTCGATCATGTTGAAGTTGAGTATCATGCTATGGCCTTCACAATAGTAGAGATAGTTTGGCGGCATTGACTACTTGTTGATCGTTTTCTTCTTAACAAACTCTTGATGTTTTCTGCTACCATGTCATGAGTTTGAGGGAGGGTGTTAGAGTAGTTAGCATATTTAGACTTAGGGATAGTTTAGTTATTTGTTTTCTTTTTATAATGCCTAGGTTAGTTTGTTTGTTTTCTTTTTAGCCTACTATATAAAGATCTCTTATATAGTAGTTTTTCTTTAAGGTTGTTCTGGCTAGTTATGTCTCAATAATATTCTCTTTCTTCTAATTTTTTTCTTTTTTATTTGATCAAAGTTTACAATAATAAAAGCATTATTCCATTTATAATTGTTCACTCTGATGTATAGGGACAATCTCTTGTTATTTCTCTTGTTGGATATTGATTGTTTGTTGCTTTCGTTGGCTGCCACACTTGGGTTACTTGGGTTTATTTGTGCATAGTAAGGATGAAGTGTTTATCTGTGTCAAGAATTTCCATAAAATGGTGAGTACCCTGTTTGATGCCAAAGTTAAGATTCTTAGGACTAATAATGGAATTGACTACTTAATGGAGAGTCCAGAGTTTACTTGAACAAGCATGAAATTCTCCATCAATCTAGTTGCCTGGATACACTGGAGCAGGATGGTGTAGCTGAGAGAAAGAATCGACATTTCCTTGAAGTGGTCGCTCCTTGATGTTTACTATGGGTGTTCCTCTTTCTTTTTGAGTAATGTAGTTCTTACTATTGTGTATCTCATCAATAAGATGCCTTTGATAGTCCTTGACTTTGCCACTCCTCTTGAGTTACATCACAGGTCAGTCTTTGTTTACTCTATTCCCCCAAAAGTGTTTGGTTTTGTGTGGTTTGTACATGATTATTGAAGGACCTATGGAAAGTTGGATCCAAAGGCATTGAGCTGTGTCTTTGTTAGGGTATAAACGTTTTCACTCTCGGTCTCGAAAGGTGTATGTTACCTTCCATGTGACTGATTCATCCTTTTCCACTTCCACACCATCTTTTCAAAGAAGTGGTGCCAAAGGAGGGACTCCTCCTTCTAGCTTCCACCCAATACTTGAGTTAAGGGGAGCATCAGTTGAGGGGGAGCTATAGGGAGAAATACCTATTCAGGGGAGCAGGCAACTTGTCGAAGATTAGATACGAGCCATACGACTGATTTGCAACGCTGTACTCGACGTCAAGCTAAGCAGATCATTACCCATCATGAGCCACAAAGTCAGTCATCAGTTCCCAATCTAGGTCCTGTGCTCCTTTCTTCTACATCAGGTAAGGAGTATCTTTGTAGTAGTCTTGTTCATGTTGATGATAGTTCTCTACCTAGTGTTATTCGAAAAGGAGTTCTGACTTGTACCCAACTTCCTATTGCTAAATTTGTTTCTTATGACTCTTTATCTTCTTCCAATTGTGTTTTTGTTTTGTACTTGTCTTCTATTTTGCTTCCTCAAAGCTGGAATGAAGCCCTTACAGATCCCAAGTGGAAAACAACTATGATAAAGGAAATGAGAACTTTGAGAAAGAATGAGACCTGGGATCTTTCTCTCTTCTAGAGGAAAAAAAACAGTTGGCTACAAGTGGGTGGTTACAGCCAAGCAAAATGCAAATGACATGGTTGATAGATACAAACCAAGATTAGTAACTAAGAGGATTACTCAGACAAATGTCATAGATTATGGGGAGACATTTGTCCTTGTTGCTAAGTTGAATTCTATTCGTGTTGTTTCTTGTGCTGCCAATTTGGGATGGGATTTATAACAGTTGGATGTGAAGAATGCGTTTCTTTATGGAGATTTAGGGGAGGAAGTGTACAAGGATGTTTCCTCGCGATTCTCTACTCAATCAATGAAAGGGAAAGTATTAAGTTAAAAAATATCCCTTTATAGACTAAAGTAGTCACCTAAAACTTGGTTTGATGAATTTATTAGGCAATGGTCAAGTTTGGATACAAGCAATGTCATGCAGATCACACTATATTCATAAAGTGGGAAAATAGCAAGTTCTCAGTATTTATAGTATACGTAGATGACATAATACTTATAGGTGATGATGCAGTGGAAGTGTCCAAATTGAAAGCCCATCTTGCTAAAGAATTTGAGATTAAGGACTTGGGGTGTTTACATTATTTCTTGGGGATTGAAGTAGCTAGATCTGATAAAGGCATTTTCATCTTACAGAGGAAGTACATTCTTGATCATCTGGACAAAATTGGCATGCTAGGGCATAGAACCACATACTGAAATGTAATGAAGGTAATCAAGTTGATGAAGAAAGATATTAGTGGCTTGTTGGGAGACTTATATTTCTTTCTCACACACTCCCTAATATGGCATATGTAGCGAGTGTTGTTAGTTGATTTATGCATGATCCTTGCGGTCATCAAGAAACGATTCATCATATTCTAAGGTATCTCAAATCATCTCCAGGTAGAACAATATTGTTCTCAAACCATGATCATCTAAAGTTACAAGCTTCCACCAATATAGATTGGGCAACTCCATTGATGGTAGGAGATCCACTACCGGTTACTACACTTTTGTAGGAGGAAATCTGGATCAATTGGCGGAGCAAAAAGCAAGCAATGGTGGCTGAGGGTAATGACTCATGGTATTTGTAAGCTAATGTGGTTGTATCGTAATAATAAAGCTGCCATTAATGTTGCTCATAATCCTGTTCAATATGATAGAACAAAGTATATTGAGATTGATAGGCACTTCATCAAAGAGAAGCTCAATGTGGGGTTGATTTGTATGCCTTTTGGGACATCCAAGGAACAAGTAGTTGATGTGTTTACTAAGGGACTTAGTGGTACAATAATTCACTCAGATGTATTCAAGTTGGGTATGAAGAATATCTATGCTTTAACTTGAGGGGGAGTATAGAATATTATAATATTTAACCAAGGGAATTCTTGTAATTAGTGCAGATTATGAATTAATATACATGTGGGTAATGAGGGGAGAGATGTGTTAACTCTCATTCTCTTTGACCCTATTTTCTATTATCTTTCTTCTGTTTCCTCTTTTCTTGCCTCTTCTCCATTCTAAACTTTAAAACCTAGGATCTTGTGATTTCAACTGACCACTTGTTTCCATGTAATGTTTTTCCCTATTGTAATTTTTTACTTATTTGCTTGTTCTTAAAGTGATTCTATCACACCGCAATTATTTGTTTTCTAAATCCTAGAGAACTGCAGGAAACATTGCATAAACACAATTTAGATAGTATGTCACATGCCGACACGTGTGATGTTTTGGAGGCTGCATCCTACGGGTCTGATGCCAAGGAGATCACACAAGAAGAAAAACCAAGTACTTCCAAAGAAAACCTCTACAGGAACTGGCCCTTGATGTCTTCCATCATAGTGTATTGTGTTTTTTCACTTCATGATATGGCTTACACAGAGGTAGAGTTGATTTTTATCCACTGCTTCCTTAAATTTCTGCATTATGTTTGTGTGCCATTATCTTGTATTGGTTGCAGCAGTCTTACATTGTTGTTGTAGGATTTCAATTTCCAAGTGATGCACATTTCTGTAGCATGCTAAAGTAAACAATAATGAGTACATAATATTGTATTGCAAATTTTATTTCTTATTTAGTATTTTGTTCTACCTCGGGGCAATAATCCATTCTTTTTAGAGAATTTACAGACATAGCTTGTCCCTTGTTATATGCTTGCTTAAGCAGGGGTGCTTTTATTTTGTTTATTATCACCGCCACCTGCTCCCTTTGTAGTTTAGTTCTCTTGTTTCCATCCTATGTTTTTAGGGCCTCAATTTGTCCGTGAACTTTGTTGACTAAGTCTTAATACTTTTTCTACATCAGTGGACACTATATCAAAAGCTTTTTTCTCAGTTTTGAACTTATTGCTGAGGAATGACCCATTTTCTACTTTTAGTTTTATTTTTTTTTTCCAGAACTGTGAAGAAACATGTTATCAAAAGAAAGTTGTGAAGGGATAGTATCATGAAAATTTTGGAGTAATTCCACAGATGCAAAAGCTAAATTAAAGACAACCGTTGTGTAGGTATATATGATCATGCACATCAGGATGGTTGTTGGTATTATAATCTTACTCCTAATCTTAGTGATGTTAATTGGTGTTATTATCTGGATAATTAGTAAAGTAATTTTGTTTTTAGTTTATAGGTGCACTTTAATGCTTTGCTTTGCCTCTTGAATATGAGACTTCATTCTACAGATATTCTCTCTTTGGGCTGAGAGCCCCAGAAAATTAGGGGGCTTGAGCTATTCAACTGATGATGTTGGTGAAGTTCTTGCAATCTCAGGTACATTGATTAGCCGTATTCTTGCTATAGACTCTTTAAGGCACCATCTAAAAGCTCAAGCTTTTAGACGTATTGGTGATTTCACATGGTATTAAAGCAATTTACTTTCGTGATGGGGAGGACGCGTAGTCCGTTCATCCCTGGTCCCAAATGAGGACATTTGGACCAAAGCAATCTGAACTCTCGATAGAGTATAAAAGAGGACACACCAACGAACTCGTGTGAACACTCCTCAGCCCGAGAAGGATCAACGGTCGATTATGATGACCTAATCCCACATCACCCAATGAACTGTGTGAAGGTGCTTGATAAGTTTGAACTTAGACCTTCATTGTATAACACGTCAATATTGTGCAATGTGGATCCAAAAAGCGGTTCAATTACCATGTTAAGTCACCATCTCATTTAAAAGATTGAGCTTTAAGATGAGTTTGTGATTCAATATGGGCATTACCCCTTACTTAGAAGAATTTTGTGTGTCAAGAAAGTGTGTAGACAATGTGTGATGTATATTTTTTCATTCGATTTTCTGTCTTTAGTTTTTCCTTTTTTTTTTTCTCTTTTTTTTTTTTTGGGGGGGGGGGGGG